CACACACACACACACACACACACACACACACACACACACACACACACCTGCATATGCACACATATTACGCATTCGCCAATTTAAAGCTCGTCTATATATTATACAATACGTATGTATTATATGTATGTATGTGCTTGTTGTGTGTCTACGTTTATTTAACATAATTGTCTGTGGCTATGTGTGTGTGTGCGTGAGCTGCGTGCGTTTCTGTTCATACATATCAACAATTTATATATGTGTTTATAGATTTGTATATCGTTATGTTGGCGTAAATTTCGCTTTAAGGGCTTTATATAGGGATGTGTTTGATTATTTTTAGTTCTTTTAGTTGGTATATTAAGGCCATTAACACATTAGCGAGACCATATTAAAATAGTTTAAAGCGCGTGTTGAGGCAAGCCGCTGAGGCAAGCAGCTGAGGCAAGAGAACGATGTTAACGCAATATTTTGCCGATCTACAACTTTCCCCTATTTGTGCAATACATACATACATACATACATACATACATACATAGATACATATGTGCATATATTCATTCAAACGGTAAACGTATACAAACTCACACATTCATACATGCACACATCCGCACAAGCATACGTGTACTGTCGACATTGTTAACTGTCTTATTTTATAATTTTTTCCGTTCTTTCTTTTTGTTCCGCTAAAAAGCTTTCATAAGCTATTTCCCCTTATTTCGTCTGGTGTTGTTATTGTTGTTGGTATTTTTGTTGTTTCTGATTTTTTTTTAATTTTTTATTTTTTTTTATACTAATTAGAAATCTTTGTAAAAGGTCTTCCTCAAAACAATTCATCTAATAAGCAACCAATCAACTAATCATTCAGTCAGTCAGTCCGTCACTCAGTTAATAAGCAAAACCAGCAACAAAAAGAAAAAGAACCAGCAACAGAAGAAAAGAGAAGAAAAGAAAAGAGAAGAGAAGAAAAGAAAAGAAAAGAAAAGAAAAAATAGAACCAACTCACAACACCATCTACACTGACATTTAATCATTAAAGTAACCCACGAAATACGAAATACGCCTAACAAGTGGCGAATGACCTTTAAATACACTTTGAATTTAAGTTTAAAATTTTTTGCCGTTTTACTTAACTTTTCGTTCATAAAAACTATTCATTTACATTTGATAGTTGACTTTTGGCATTTTTTCAATACCAAGGCAGAGACAAAGAGGAAACAAAATTGAAATATATTCGTATGTGCAGTTGTATAAAAAAGTCCAGCTGGCGTTTTTCATTTGAATTAAAAAATTTTTGAACTAATTTTCGTTTATTTCTTTATTTTTATTATTTTTTTTTTTTTGTTCGTATTTAACTAAATGTTATACTAACAAATACATCCACACATATAAACTCTTATAATATTTTATACAATTAGTTTAACATTAGCGCTGCAAATAAAAAAGTTTTCAATTTCTTTTCATGCAAGCGAGAAAGAGATAAAATTAGGGACAAGGTAGGTAGAGTAGGTAGGCGAGGGAGGAGGAGGAGTTGGAGGAGAAAATGAAAAAAGAAAGAGATAGAGTAAGTAGAGAAGGGAAAGAGAAGTATTAATGTAGAAAGAGAGAAGGATAAGAGAACGAGAGAAAAACATAGTACTAAGAAATTACATTTTCATTCCCATACACGCACCCAAGCGTATACTTTTGCAGTCGCAAAGTTTTAAAATCATGTTTTTATGAAACTAAATAAACTTGACCTATCAACTCATACATCTATAAACAAATGCACATACACACATACACACACACACGCACACATGTATATATACCTATACAAAGAAATAAACTCACATCGAGAGGTATACATTTATGCTTACATTTATGCATTCACAAAATATCAAAGCCCACATGTATGCATATCCTTAACAAAACACATTCATCTACCCATAAACACACAAATGTATATCGTAGGTGCAAATACGTACAGCTGTTGCAACTGCTGTACTTATGAACTCATTCAACTCGCAAGAATAGGCTGTTTGACCTTGAACGCTTCCACTGCTCAGAATTTCTGGCATAGCTTTTCTCTCTATCTCTCTCTCTCTCTCTCTCTACATACCTACCTATATGAATAATTTTCACTCCATATGCACACATGAGCACTCGTGACATTAAGCGTGACTTTAAAATGTGTGTTAATGTAAAAGTTAAGAGAAAACAAAGAAATTAAGATCGCTTTAAGACGAATACTGAATACTCATTACCCAAATGAAAAATAAATAGTTGCTTAGACATCGTGACATTATTATATTTTCATAGATTTGATTAAAAGATACGAAATACCTTCGTATAGATAGATATATTTAATTCACATTAACAATGGGGCTGTCGTGTCCAATGCAGTTAGCCGTATGACTTCCCAACTTCAAAGAGTACATTGCCTAATAGTCTTTAGAATTCTTGCCGGAATAGGGAAATAAGGGAGCGGAAGCGTAAGTGATTTTGAAGCTGATTGCAGAGCTACAAATTTTATAAGTTTTTGATTAAACTATGATTGGGAGTCTGTTCGGGTTTTCATTTAAAAGTGTATTCATTTTTTTTTTTCATTTTTTTTTTTTTTTGATAGATAAGATAATATTGTATTGGAGTTATTTTCATCAGGAAGGAATAGGTTTACGTTTTTATGTAAAAATGACTCGTAGAAGCTTTTCCTATGCATGTCGTTCCAAAAGGTAGATAATTTTCATGCTTACGCTTGCGAATGAATACCGGTCGGGGTTAAGTCTGATCTCTAAAATATTCGAAGCCTTCTTTTTGCGGCCGTTGAAGAGTCTAAAATTTAACCTTTCTGGAGGAGAAATGAGTATACTTATGCCGAAGGTAATTACCAATCATGTATTATAATACATTTTAGAATTCATTTAAGTGTATGGCCATAGATCTATTTTTAGGGCCTCTAAAGCATTTTGCGTTTTCGCGCATGTGATACATCAAACGTAAAGTCATATTTAATATACTTAGTGCGTTTAGTTTTTGGTTCTTTTTTTTTTTTTTTTTTCTTTATTATATTAATGGCACGCGCGCTCATCCCGATTGTTGTTCATGTTTTAAACTTACTGAAGCATAATGATGCTTGATGGGTCCCATAGGTTTTTTTTTTTTTTTTCTCATAAAAATTAAATTAAAAGCCTTTTTTTGCAATGGAAGCACTTGAAGTTTTGTAAAAAAAAACTATGTTGGAAAACGTTGTTATAATTATTTCTTTTTATTTTTATATGAAATTTAATTTTCTCACACGAGGTGTAGATCGTTACTAATGTCATCTAATGAAAGTTACGCGTCTCTGTTAAATAAGAGAAAGACTTCGTTCGTGCCCTCAAATTCATCAAATTTCAAATATATTTCTCTTCTTCAATTTTACATGGACTCTATAAAACTAGATATATGGGTGTTAAAGACCCGATTGCAGGTACATGGTGATGCATCAAAATTAACTAACTGCGGTTGACACATTTCAATTTTCCTGATCTATTTTGTCTGCATCGCAGTTATAAAATATGATTTCTGAATATCCTAACAGATAAACCAAAGCTGAATAAAAGCGAT